TCATATTAATTTTCTAATGAATACTCAAATTGCATTTGCTAAATATTCAGCATACCATGTCATCTGCACCAAGGACATCCTCAATCAAGCGCTCACCATCACGGGATTTCCTACATATTATTCCAAGAAAGAAGTTAATCTATGATGGTACTATTCGATTGACAAACTCTATCTCATATCCCATGGATGAATTCTTAGAGGAGAAAACAAGAGCGAATGAAATTTTTCGCTATTGTTTACATGAATGGTCTTGGTATGAGGACGATAATTTATGGGACGTATATCATGAAGTTATCAAAAGTCGTTATCCAATGTATGTTGATGGAGAAACAATTACTGATATGGGTTGAAAATTTATACGACAAAGATTTAGGGATCATAATGGTCATTTTGCACCTATAAGTATTCTTAGAACAACAATTGGTGAAATCGCACGAGCAAAAGATGGTTCTGTCGTGGTAAATGTTGAGAATCCGATAGCTGATGTGCAACATTGCATCCTTTACAAAACTTGGCATACAAATCAAGATGCATTTCTATCAAAAAAATATCAAGAGCTGAATATTATAGATGATAAAAAAAAGAAAGAGTTCTTAAATGGCAAAGATTGGCAAATAATCCAAAAGCAGTTCACAAAAAAATTCTTATGTTGCCAACTTTAACCCAGCTGCAAGCACGTATGCGCATAGTACTGAACCAAATGTAATACTAATTTTTTCAATATTGCTTTCGATCAATTTTATGTGTATTAACAACTAATTTTTCCGATATTGCATAGTTTGAGCCAGATGTAATACGGAATGGTTGTTTAAAAAAAATGCTCATCTTTTTTAATTCATTACAAACAAAATTGGGTGCTAATGATTGTATTGTAATTTTACATTTCTTATAAAAAAAAAAAACTCTATTCAAAATAAATTATCGTTCCCAACCTCAAACGTAAATACATAACAACTAATTTTTATAATATAATTATTTTAAATATTGTCTCAGGTATATTATTAAATAAATTTTATATTATATATTTAATTATTATTAAATGCAGAGAGAGAGAGAGAGGGTAGAGAGGCAGAAAATGAGAGTTTGTAAGTTTTAATATTTAAATAAATTTAATTTTAACTTTTTTAAAATAATTTTCATAATTTTAAATTTAAAATAAAATCATTTTAAATTATT